CAACTTACACTTAACACTTTAACTATCTTTTGGTTTGAAAACTTTAAAGGACTATACCCTTTGGTTCAGTAATCAGCTTTTTACTTACCTTTTTCTTCTTTTGAATTAATTTTCTAATTTCTCTCATTAAGCCAGTGGGCTGTCTCCTCTTCAGAAAAGAACATGCAGTAACTCAGAACCCAGAGGTGATTTCAACTATTAGTGGTACTCTTCTACCATCCAAGAATGCAAACAATGATACTCAAGGCTACCAGTAATGAAATTGTGTAGGCAGTAGTAAAAAGATAGAAGAACCCTGCTCTGACAGATGTGACTGTTATGATGGAGCCAGCTAACGCAGAAGGTTTGGCTGTAGTCAAGATAGCTGTGTATGCAAATCTTTAAAGATTGGGAAAATTTCATCTTGACAAGCAATTTATTTATATAATATTTTATAAAACGTTTAATTTTTTTTGTTTTGTTTGTTTACTATTACTAGTTGTAAATTATCTGTGGGATGATTTGGGGTTTTGAAGAATTGCCAAGCTGTTGCTTCAGTACACCCTTGGGAAGATTTAAAATTTGTACATTGTTGTTGCTGGCCACCCAGGGATGTCCTAATGATTCCTAGCAGGCTTTCACATCAGCATACATTTATTTACTGAAGCGCATTCTATCACATCTTCATTAATATTGTTATCCAAGCTAATTAGATTGAAGCTAGTCTGGGAGGCCTTAGCATACTTCACTCACACCTCTGAGCTGCAGTGTAGGCAACACCTACAGTCTGAAAACCAGGCTATGCAGACATGCACAAATCACATGCAGTAATATGTGGGGGGAGGAATCATGCCCATTGAACATCAGAGGAAACCCCTAGGTTCCTGTTTCAGCTGCCTGAGACCAGTAAGGACAATATTTTTTATGTTACAGGCACTGACAAACGCACAAAAACCCCCCAATAGAGTAGCAGATACCACTTGAGGTGTTGTGTCTCTGTTGGCATTGTGGCTTACTGTTTTCCAGCTTCTTTTCATAAAGGACTCCTCTCATAAAGCAAACCCTACTATAAAATACAGGGAGCTACGTAGCCAATCTGATAGAAACAGGATAATGTCAGCAAGAATAACTGCAATAGCCTGCAGGCAGCATCCATTCTGCTAACATACAGTGTATGCTTTTAAGTTTATTTCCATAACTATTACTCAGTAAATCAGCAAGTAAAAGGAGAATTCTACCCAGTGATGAATTTCTTTCTTAAGTGTCTGGCTATCTTCTAGCCCAAAATTGTTTCCAGATTAAGAACTTTGACTCTGGAACGAATTCTTCCAAAAAGGACCAGACCTTGGCTTTGTGGGTGTAATGCAAGACTGATTTTACTTTTTTTTTTGTGCAGAGGTAGGCAGAATG